ATATGGTACATCTGGTCCACGTGGTAGATCCTACTCATCAAGCAATAGGCTTTGGGGCTTACTTTGTTTACATTGTATTCATTTTGTTATCACTACTTTTAACAACTGTTGGACCTTTTCATCCATACCGTGTTTTAGAATTCCTCCAACGCTCCGTCTCTGGAGGACGATACAAAAAGAGAGAGGAAACCACTCAACATAGAATGATTGCGGTAAGAGCCAGAGGTGAAAGATGGGATAATCATATTCAAGTAGATGAAATATAGTTTGTTTTTAATAAAAGCAACCTTAACAGTAACATGGAAGAGTAGCTCTTTAGAAGAATCTAAAATGATGACATAGTCAAAATCTACTACTGAAATATTTCACAGAGCCCCAGTCACTGGGCCTTCCCTGTCCTAACTGACTGGCCTTTCCATCAGTTCTCTCCAGTGCCATGAATTTGTCACATGCAAATCCAAGGACTCAACTTATGAGCCCTCACTAATCTCCTTGATACAACAGTTTTCAGCTTCCCAATCTCATTCTTCATTGTCGGTTTTAATCTCTTCGAATAGGACACCAGAATGTATATCAGTCATGTACTGAGAGCATGTCCTGTTCCCACAATAGAGCAGGTGCCCTGCAGGCAGCTACAGGACACCCTTTCCTGAACCTGTGAACAATGCCATGGGGTAGAGAAGAGTAGCAGGTGTAAAACAATCTGAGAGGAACCAACACAAACACCTGTGGAGCTAGAAATAAACACAGTAGGACGTCAGCAAAGAGTGCCTACTGTAAGAGTAGGAAAGCTTCCTGGAGGTGGTGGCTTGAACTGTGTCCCAAATGATTAGGAACGCTTAGATGAGGGGAGGCATTCCAGAATAGACAAACATAGTCCGCAGAGGTGGAAAGCAAGGGGAGAGAGTGATCTGTAGGGTAACTGGAGCTCAGCAAGGAGGGGAGTGGAGGTAAGACCGGAGAGGCATGGTGGGCCAATTACGGAAAGTTTTGAGAGTCAGTCAGGAGTTAAATTAGATACAACATGATCAACAGTAGGGGATTAATATAGCTTCTTGGGTAGAAGATTTGGAGCCAGAGGTAGAGCTTTGGCAAGACTGGGCTAATGGCAGTGGGCAGAAAGGGCTGGAGTAGGGAAGAAAGGAGAGGGCCCAGGGCACCCTGTTGCAGTGAAGAGGGCCTTCTCCACTGGTTGCCTCATCCAGCAACTCTTTGGCAGGTCCCCAGCTCAGGGGTGAGTTGGTACCTGTGGCTAGAGAGTGAAATGAATGAAAACTACAGTCAAGGGATGGATGCCACAATAAAGGGAGGTATAGGGCTCTGGAAGAGAAGGGAGGAAGAGGAGACATAGCTGTTAGGGAAGGGGGAAACAATGACTTTGGTGGCAACCATGACTTCCAGATTTACAGCAAGTAGAGACACCTGCTTATTCTTCTTCCTCCAAAGTTCTGTCCCCAAGTATGAAGACCTGCTTTCTCCTCCTCCTCCCCCTTCCCCTCCTCCCCACCCTTCCTTGTCCTCCTCCTCCATCCTTCTTCTGATCTTTACATTTACCGTCTCCATGCCCAGGATTCATTCCTGTGGTCCTAATTAGCCCTCAGAACCACAACAAGAAGGCTAGGGAGAAACTCAGAAATTTGAACCTATTTTAGAAAGGCTTTTCTAGAGCTCAGTGCTAATCACCTCCTCCTCCTCCTCCATCCTTACCACCACCATCCTCACAGCTGACAGTACCGAGCACATCTCTCAGGCTGGGCTATGCATAGCACTTCACACGGTTCCTCTCATTTACTCCTTGCATCCTCCCACAGACAGGAAGTATCTGGCCCATTTGACCATTTCCAAGGTCCCACAACCAGGAAGAGGCAGAGCCCCAGAGTGAACTCAGGTCTGGGTTCCTAATCCTCACACGTGATAGCTTAGCTGAGGTCCACAGTGTTCTAAGTAACACGCTTTTAAGTGCCATGACTGAGAGTCCCCTTCCTAGTAAAAGGCTCTGTGAAACTCTGGCCAGGATTCCTCCACGAGTCCTTCTGATGCGGCTTCACAAAGTTCCATTTTCCCCCGTCTGAGCGAATCTAAATCTGTCTGCAAGCCTCATGGCCTCTCACATTTAGTAAACAAGCACGTAATGCACATTTGCTATTTTCATTGGTGTGAAATTAACTGCCTCTTTGTGGTATGTCTAAACCACGCATTATTCAAACTTGGGCACACACATGCCACTTTCTTGGTCAGTGGAGTACGCTGCAGATAAAAAACAGGAAAAAAATTTTGTTGTTCTTTAATTGAAGTGTTTCATGGATGTGGCAATCACAGAGGATTCAAAAGGATGAATGATAGGTCTGAATCAAAATGGGCTGGTTGTACTGTAACATTCTAATTTCTTTTGAACAGAAACAGGTACATACTCTATGGCAGGGCAATTAAGAAGGAAAATGTACCAATTATTATAAATTACTTAATTCCTTAAAATGATTAATTAGCTTTTATCAAGGGGATAAATTACAGATACACTGACTTTATGGGGAGTTAGGTGACTTTATGGGGAGTACCAAGGCTGGTACTTTAGGGGTTCAATGGCACTTTGACCCACTCTGCTGAATCTAAAAGCAAGGATTTGCAAACTCAACAATGAGATAAACATCAGCTCATAGGGGAAGCAAACAATTCAAGGTCTGCTCATTGCTGTAAGGAACTGGGTATTAAAATACTGTTTTAGAAATGAGAGAACCGTGGATCCTTTGGAAGCACTTGGTTTTTAAGATCTCAGAGATACTTTTTAAATGTTTCTTTCTCTTTTTCTTGAAGCCACAATGTCATGATGATCCTAACACACTATTAAAAGCTACAGGCCATGCTCCACCCTTCCATCTTACTCCGAGCCCTCAGCAGGCAGTCTTGAAATTCAAAACACTGAAACACTGTGAACTCTGAGCCTCCCCTGTGGGTACTGAGAGATCACAAACTTGGCAGACCCTACTGCTCCTTGTGGTCAGAGCTCTCCTCCATCATGCATCCTCCTTGTTTTTATCCCTGCTAAGTGCTCGGTGGAACTCAGTTCGAGATGTGCCAGGAACCCAGTCCTCTTCAAAGCTGCTACCCGAGAAGGCACGTCTTTTAGTTGTGCTGACGATCACATGTGAGAAGCCCTGGTGAATGCAGACCTTCATGCTCATGTTATTAAAATTGCCACAAGTACTAAAAAATCTCCCAGATGCTGGCCCATGGCCCTAGCACAGGAATTGCCAATGTGAGTTTTGTGGTTCCCAGATTCATAACAAGGGGCATGCTGACATTTTAAAAAAGCGTCCCAGAAAAAACTAATATTAAATTTACAGAATTCAAAACATAAGTTTACATACTAATTTCTTTCCCACTTTCCTTTCTGTGGAGCGAGGAATACGACTAAAAGAAACTCCAAAAAGCTTGAAAAAACCGCACTGTGACATATTTGTCCAAATGTGACCCAGCCCAAGGCTGGTGAATTTTAGAAATGTGGACACCTAGCATTAAATTCTAGGACTCTGGGAATAGAATCGACAGTTTTTACGCTACCGTATCTGCCACCAAATTTGGAATGGAATTTTAACATTGAATATGAATGGAGAATTCAGAACTCCTAAGTTATATTAATCTCAATCAAATAAATATATGTACACTGAATTGTTAAATTGTAAATCTTCATATTTATACACATTTCAAGCACCGGGAAGCTCTCCAACTATATCCAAGAATAAAAATTAATTGTTCTTTTGTTTTTCCTACCTTGGAGAATAAAAATACCTGAGTAATTCTTTTGTTTTGAAATATACAATCTAAAAATATCAGAGTATTTAAATATGTCTACATATTTCATGATATATTTGCCTACATATTTTAAATACACATGATACATACACACAGATACACAAATATCAATACAATAAATACAAAAGGTTCTCGTAAGAAATTTTATCTGTGAGCTGATTCAAAGCACAAATAACAAACTAAAATTTCCAAACATTTAGACAGAGGCCACGGGAAGACCCCGTGGCACGTGACACAAGCACTTCATACTCAGAAGCCTATTTTTAAGCCTAATAATAGAAACGTCATCACATACCATAATGCAATAAAATAAAAGTGATTTCTTACTGAATACTGGGAAAGACGTATTTCCTTTTAACACTTGGAATTCTTGTTCTAGTCGTCTCCGTAAATCTATTTGTTCAAATAAAACCTTCTGAAGTTCTTCTAATAAAGAAAAACAGAAGAGTCATTTTACTAATCTTTACAAATAACTCTCCAGAGAACTGTTATATATGGCTATTTATTATTATAAGACAAAATATTTTACCAGTTTAAAAACTGTTACATAGACATAGGATAGATTTTGTGCAGAAATCCATGAATATAAATCAATGTAATATATTATTTTAAAGTATTATATTACAGTGTCATGTATTGATTGATATGTATGCATTAATCTCAATTATATCCACCCAATGGTCCATATATTATTCATATGTTGCTTGTCAAGCTTAAAATATGGTGTAGAACAAAAATATCCTCCTATTATCTCCATGGTCTTTTGAAGCTAAGAGAAGTTCTACAGAATTAAAACTTTTCTTTACCTTTCCCCATATTTTCAACATCCTTTTTGAGTGAATGAGGTGAATTTGTCTCTTGTGTGTGTTCACCTTTAAAAAAAGGAGAAAAAATATTGGTTTTGTGTAGTCTATTTTCTGAAAGTTTTTCTTTTCATTTTCTTTTTTAAAAAATATTTATTTGAGAGAGAGCACAAGGGAGAGGGAGAGGGAGAGGGAGAGAAACCCAAGCAGACTCCTCACTGAGCACCAAGCCCCACGCAGGGCTCCATCTCACAACCCTGAGATCATGACGTGAGCTGAAACCAGGAGTCGGACACTCAACTGACTGAGCTACACAGGTGCCCCTCTTTTCATTTTCTTTTAATATCTACGAGGAGCTTGGTTAATACGACTTGAAAGTGGGAGTTCTCAGAACCAAACGCTGTCCTCATTTACCCGTGTACAATTCCCCTGAAGCACGGCGAGAGCTTCAGGAAAAGAGGACGCAGTCTACCTAGCCTGAAGTGGCAGCCCCCTCCCCCCACCACTCTCCACTCGCTACAACGCAGGTCCTTGCTCCATGGGCAGAAGAGGAGGTTGTTAACGTATCTGGAAGAATTCGGATCAGAGTTCCTCTCCTTCCAGACGTGAGGGAGCCTAGCGGCAACTGGAAACCCTCAAGGCTGTGGAAGCAGAAACCTCCTCCCTTCTTGGGTCACCACAATTTGGGGGCAGTTAGAAAGAAACAGGAGGAGGCTTTTGTTCTCCTTGGGAGAGAATGTATAAGCCTGGAGTTTTCCTAAAAACTGTAGCTTTTTTTTTTTTTTTAATCAACCTAAAACAGAGGTGTGAAATAAGTTATGTTACTTTGTAATATTTACATGCTTGCTGATAGTTTCAGAACGACTTGGTCTTCAACCAATAAAGACTAGATTGTGGATAAAAGTTAGGTGCTGTTCTTACCTATTGTGTTTATGTGCTAACTAGAATGATGGCAAGCTAAGAAAACGGATTTACGTACAGTCATACATTGAGTCTGCGTAACCTACAAGACATAAATAAACCAAAAGAATCCAATCATTTAGCTAACCAGAATTTGTTTTTCCAATTTCAACCTGCTATCTGCAAATATCCACATAATATAATTAAGCTGGCCATTTTCATGTACAAGAGGACAGACGAAGGTGCTCTCAGATTTCATGGATTCCCCCTTCCTTGACCCCCTGGGTTAGCTCCTTCCTTTGCATCCATGGTGCTGTCTGCTTACTCACTTACCACACCCACCAGGCTGTATACTACTTTCCTGTATGGCCAGTGCCTAGGGGAACGCTGGACACATAATAGGTATTCAATAAAGTATTTCAGTTGTCACTGAAAGGAACCCCAGGAGGTCAAACATTCTAAATGACAGTACAGGCCAGAATGCATCATTTCAATTCTCTCCTCACCATTCATTCATTTCCCTTCCTCAGCAAGAAATAGAATAAAATGGCCCTAGGCACTGGTAGGAATACTGGGAGATTTCACTGTCAAGGTAAAAATTCCTGCAAAGAGGAAAACAGAATTTCTCCACAAAGCAGTGGCCTACAGAATCAAGGACGGACAGGAAAATTTTAATGTGATACTATAAATGTTGATTCTGCATTCTACCCAATGACCGTGGAGAGTAAGTATTTGCAGGAATGAGTGGATTGCGTGTATGTGTGTGTATGTATATACATACATGTGAATATACATATATGCAAATATTCCTGCACATGTGCGTAGTGATGAAAAGGTGCTTCCCCTGGCTACCCCTCATTAGGACAATAATATCTTAGACATCTCTGAGTTCCTTAATGACAGGCATTTTCTCTACCATCTAGATCATATCTGTACAACCTCATTCTCACTTTCGTTTTAGACATGACCTCTCTCTATAGGCTTTGCTCATTCAAACCTGGCTTTCTTCTTTACACAGAACCATGAAAATATCTGTGAAGCGTTTTAAATATACACTTCACTCTGATTCCTAGAAAATACCACTCCCTGAAAGAAGAGTAACATGAAGGTGGATAATAAATCATAAATGTATAAACCAAGAATAATGGCATTTTGAAATGAAAATAAATGCCTATTATGTGCAGTTTTACCTGTTTACTCCAGTCTCAATCAGTTAAATGCATAGCTGTTTCATAGTCACATACAATGTTGAGTCTGAACAAGAGAAGAAACAAGCATGCGTGTACGTCTGCAACCATCTGCAGGGCAGAGGGAGGGTTTACCATCCTTCACTGTCCCAAGCACTGGAAACATGATTTAAACGAGACCATCCATTTCTGAATAGGCAGCTCTAGAAGCCGTGTCCTTATCACATTATAGACCTTTTTGATTCATCAGTGTATTTTGTGGACTGTTTATCTTACATTATACTTCAGTTGGATAATTAAATTCAAAAATGGAACTATGATATGTAAACATACATTTCTTTTCTACTTCACAGTTAGGAGGTTGACATAGGTGTGAAACCATTAAACAAATGGCTGGTGCTTGGTAACTACTTTAACCACAAGCAAATCTACCAATAATATTAAGTTTTTCTCTTCACCGGCTTCGTGGAGCTTTTATTAATATTATACATCAGTGTCCTATCTCAAATAGATACTTTGCAGCAACTTCTCGGTAACACCTCCCAATTTGGAGCTTGGAAGATTCAAATGTTTCACTTATAAAGGGTTTTTTAAAATGGTTAAATGTTAGGTAAATAAGGAGCACAGACGCTTCAGCTGCCTTTTTGTGTATCTTTTACTGGACCCTTGCCTTTTGTATATTACTAATCTGTGAAACCAGATTGTTAATGGTGGTTAAAAATGACCTCTGGGAGCCTGGATATGTTTGTTCACTATTACTGCTAAGGTTTTCCATCTGGTTAAAAAAAAAAAAAGGCAGTCTAATACTAGATTAAATAAATGAGATTTAGTTGACAATGAACTTCCAATTTTTATAAATATTCCATTAGGTTAAATGCATTTTACTTTTCCAAAATTAATGAATGGATTTGGAGACATCCAGAAATTAAAATGCTCACTTTCCTTCCCACTCTATTTCCCATTTAAAAAAAAAAGTTACAAAATGGCAGGGGGAGATTTTAATTGTGTTGAGTTATAGCAGGGAACATTATAATATGGAAGGAACATCTTTCTTAGAGGCCAGGCTTAACTATATCTTAAGTTAGACTGTCAAAGAAAACAGCTGGGTGGCTTAAAGTTGGGGAATAATGGATAATAGGCGCATAAAATGCATCCAGTGGACTGATGTGACCGGAATCTGCTGCTCAGGGACATGCCTACACCAGGACTCCACAAGTACACGTTCATGGAGCCAGTTTGCTGTGACCTGCATTGCTGCCCACGAATCCTGCCTGCCTTGAAAGGCAGGGGCAGCACAGCGCCACGTAGGGGGAAACCACACCCTTGCCGAGTGCCCTGGAGGCCAGAGAGCCTGGGGCCACAGGGTTGCCACTCCCACGGTCTCTCCAGGATCCTCAGCACCAGGTGGTCCCACATTCCAGGTGAAAGTTCCACCCCACCCTTGGTTCTGCCCTCACAGAGCCATCGGAAACTGGGAGTACAAGAGGGATGGACGTGAGAATATGCCTCACTAAAGCAGACACGAGCGGTACAAAGCAAATGAGGGGGAAGTGGAATGTCCAACAGAAAAAAACAAACAACTAACAAACCCAAAACAGGCAACAGATTCATTAGCACCACCTTTCAAGGCACAAGGGTAATTACTTTCTCTTAAATATCATGGCACACCTCTGCTCTAGAACCATGCGATGGTTTCCCATGGTCTACGTTGCATAATTCACTCTAAATTCCTCCCCTGGTGCCTCCAGGTTCTCCCATAACCTTGTTCCATTCAGCTGAGCCAAGCTGCCTTTCTCTATCAGCAAGCACAAACCCTTTATTCTAGTTGGGCCTTCATTCCTCACACCCGCTGGCTCTGCCTTATGTTTTTGCCCTTCCCAAGGTGCCCCATCTACAATAAGAATGCCATCCAAGTCCCTACTCTTCCGTAAAGACTTCCCCAACTTCTGCAAATGCTGTTGATCCATTCCTTCCTAGGCTGAAGTTCCAAGTGCTTATTGTCTTCATTCGACCACCTGACGTTGTGGGGTTTCAACTCAGCAAGCCTAGTCTTCCCCAGCTAGAAAATCTGCTTTCTGAGGGCAGAGAGACCTTGCCCAATAGGTAACCCCATCACCTCTACCTTAGGGAGGGGCACAAATACTGTTTGCTCTTAATTTAATTCAATCTGGTTTGCAGAAGAAATACAAAGCAATGCTACTTTAAATCCTAAATTGTCATAAGTTTTTAAGCACGAACTCATTCCTATGAATGAAAAAGCACATTCTGATCCATTTGGATAATTGAATACATACTCTATATTTTCAGTTTACTGGGGAAGTTTGTGATGTTTCCAATTGTGTTCCTGTCTGACATTTTGAAAATTTCTTTCAGAGCTAAAATCATAGCACTGAATTTTAACCAAAACACGAAAATATTAATGTTTATGTCTGCTGTGGCCTCCAAGGGCAAAAATACCTTACATTTTCAGAGCTCATTTAATTTTAAGAGCCAAACGAGTAGGTCAGATGACCTGTTCAGTTGGTGGTCATGGGACAGGGCAAAAAGCTGATTCAATACATAATTCACTCTTTTCAGGCTAAACTTGAATTCAATAAACAAGATCATTCAAATATTGCACCTTGCATGTGTATAGGGTTTGCTAAGTATGCAGGGTACAATATGCAATGCCTGAGATTTGGATAAAGAGTTAAGACGCTGGCATTCACCCATCCCTTTTATGGAAATACCTTCTCTCTCCTTTTGCTCCCCTCCTCGGGGTTCTACTCCCTGGAGCCTGCAACCAGCATTCAGAGGCCCCATGCTGTAGCCCCAGGGGCTAGCAAGCTGCTTCCCACTAAAAAGGCTTCTATGTTCCTTTGGGACCAGGACCGTTGTTGACAACACTTCATGAAAACATTTGGAGGAAACGTTCCCATTTAAAGAAAGGGTGTCATTTAATTGTACATTGAAGGATAAATTGAGTCAAGGAAACTGTTTTGGTTCGGGGCTGTGCCTCTACATAAGAATGCAGACATGCCCTCTAACATTCGGATGAAGAGTGAAGATTTCAGTCAAACATCCAGATGTTTCCAGAGTTGGTGGGTGGGGTCTCCTGTGCCACCCCACGTGCTCTGGTGCCACTGAGCAGACCCTGGAAAAGCAGCTGTGACTGTAGAGATTGTGGAAGTTCCTGCACAAGGTTGTGCCCTCGGGGCTGGGCTGAGGCTCTGCTCTCGGCCTCCCAACAGCCTCAGTCCAGGGCCTGGCCTTCTGTGGAACAGACTCCATTTATACAGGTCTAACTCCCCAATAAACTCTGCATTCTAATCATTAACCTTAATTTTAGAATCTGGTTTTAAT